CATTGCATAATGCAAAAATAAACTTGCTGGAGGAAATATATTCTTTTGTCCTTTAGGAAGAAGCATAAACCAGTAAATGCTCTGGTCAAACCACTTATCTGAGTAATTTCTATCTCAGTAGTGTCGGACAAGAACTAGTCTTAGCACAGAAATACGAAAGTCAACATCATCTGGACTTGGGGAGGTTTTGGTTGCTCTGACTGCTCTGATCTCCTAACTTAAGTTCCTGAGCCTCAGTGAAAAACCAGCACTTTGAGGCTGGTATTTGGACTATGCATGAAGGCTATCCCATAAGTGAGAACATCTGGTAAGTGTTAAAGGACTTAAAGGAAAATAGTTTTCTGTGGTACATGCTCTGAGTTTGAATTCTACCTACACTAATTACTGTGGCCCGGGATGGTTAATAACTCATTCTGTGACTAATTTTTACAGTTTATGGATATTAATAATGAAGATAAAATATCCTAGTGTTGGTTCAAACAAACATAAAGGTTATTTTCTTGTCCATTGCTTGGCACAGATTAGAGGTTTAATGCATGAATGTTAGAGTGAAATACACAACACAATTCTGTCTTTGTTTTGCCATATTTTGCTGCCTACAAAAAAAATTTACTTTACAGTCCCCAAATTTGTGGAATTCTCATTAGAAAGTGTGTGTGTGTATATATATATATATATATATATTTTTGGAACCAAGAATTGGATGATTCATGAAAAAACAAGGTAGAGCATTTAATGATAAAATGCTTACACAGATATCTTAAGTATTTTATTTTGGCTTTAGACATTTAAATAAATGTTCATTCACCTGTATTTTGAGATCTGACTAAGGCTATTCTTGGAATTAGTGTTTACCAACTGGAGTCCCATGCTGTTTTGCTTACAAAACTCTTATCCATAATACATTGCCCATCCATTTCAGTTTGCAATTTAAAGACATCATTCAGACAAATGGATTATGTAACTTTTCTAGATATTTCCTCAATTATCTTAGCTACTCCAAAATCTATAATGGGTCTTTTGTTTTGATTTTTTGGCTCATCTTTATCAGCTTCATCCCAAACTATTTGCTTTACTTTTCATAGCAATATTTCTGTTTTTCACACCCAGGTTTATTGGTTACATTATATGTAATTGAATTACCTAATTATGGTTACAATTATAGCATATACATACGTCTATACATATATATAAATATATAAACATGGTGTACACCATAAGCATAAACAGATTCAGCAGCAAACATACAGCTGACTTTTTTGTTAAGCACACGGCTCCACTGAAAACAGCATATGGGAAGAAACGTGCTAGAGGAAAAGGCATAGCTGAGAACTCAGGTTGTTGAGGTATCAGTGGATTTTACAGAGGGAATGGAAGCATGGGTGGATCTGAAAAGTGGAGATTGCTGGGGAGAGTCCTGCTGTTGAAAAGGCTTTCACAAATAAAATAATAAAACGAAGTAAAAATGGATTAGAGCCAGACATTTGTTTCCAAGTTCACTGGCTAATTAAACTCTTCAAACCACAGTGTATTACAATGGTAGATCCAGAAAAGTCTTTGAAGAAAAATGAATTCAGTACACCCACTATCTTCACCTCTTACCATCATCTGCTAACTTTTATTAGGTGAGGAAAGAAGGTTGGGTCTGAAATAGAAAATTCTTTAACACTGTCAAACAAAATGGAAGGTAAGGAGAGGGACAGAGCTATTAGAGGTATAACCTCAACCCTTTCAAGAAAAAAGGCCTAGGAGCTTGAAGAAGAAGGAAGCTGGACTGGTGGGAGACCCTAGATCTGAGGACTTCAAATTCCCCCTTCAAGCTCAAGTAGTCTGCACCAGAGAGAATGGGAGGAGGAAGAAAGAAAGTAAATGGAGAGAATACTCCAGTTTCTTTAAAGGTCAAGCATAAAACACACACACACAAACCCAAAGTTGTCACTGCTCTACAGCACTTTATGCTCCTACAGACACACCTATGTCCGCATCCTAGCTTTTGCAGATATGTGAAACAGTTGTATGGCAACTGAAATTTACACAGCAATTTATCTTTAAACCTTTATTAGATTTAAATACTATCAGCTGGCAAAGGAGATAGCGCTAGCATGAAGATGATCTGTCCTGTGGCATCTTTTCCATGCTTTTCCAGGAAATGCAAAAGAAAGTAAAAGAGGACCGAGAAGAAAGGCTGTATTGATAGGTCCTATCCTCTGTCCAGTAACTGGTTCCAGAATTTCTGTGTGGGAACTGGGGCTAACCAGAAAATGAGACCTAAACATCCAGTTTTGGCCACACAGAGTTCTGTCCTTTTACCAAAGTGGAAAATTTTCAAGGGAAACACAGAGGCTCAATGGAACTTGCTGAAAACAACCCTCAATTTCTCAAGGCTTTCTGATTTTTTAAAAATATATACACTACTTCCCTGCAGTGCCCTTGGAGACATTACCATCACTAGTATAATTGCTCTCTAATTCTTAAGGTGGCCTGGTTTAGTTTTTTTCTCTGCAGACTCTTTTCACTTCAATGTCCCTGTAGTTTGAAGAAATGCAACCAATTTTCAAAGCATAGTTTCAGGAAACCAGTAATGTCATGTCCAGTTGCCTAGAAAAATAGAAATCGCATCAGCATTCTTAGTCAGATCTTGTGTTTGTTTAACTCCTTCTAGTGAGGAACACAAGCACCAGCTGTGGGGTTTTCCCATCCCTTCCCCCACCATGTGGTCAGGAAGAGAAAAGTCAGCACTGGTGAATACATGGGCATCACCAAACTCTGTTGAAGTTGAAGGGGGACTGGTGGATGTGAGTTTGGGGAAGTCTCCAGACTCCTAACTTTCTCGGCACTATCTTGCAAGATAAAGGCATCCCTGGGGACCTCTGATCCAGGCCTCTTGAAAGCCAAAGAACCCTCAAAAGTGACTTTTCAGGAAACTGAAAGTGAACAGTAAGGGAAAAAAGCATTTCTCACTGCTTTCATGTCTCTTTGCAAGTTGCATCAGGAAAACATCTAGCCTTAGTCTTGAAGATTTTAGAAACACTTAAGCCAAGTTTGGCTGAGGGGTGCTGAAGGACATAGCCTAATATATTTAAATTACCCACTGGCAGCAAAATCAATTGTTTCTTCTTGTTTTGCCTCCTTTGTAACATTGATCACATTTGTGAGTATTTATTTATTCCCTTCACTTGCTGTCAGCCTCTAGGCTAGGCTGAGAGCTCCTGAAGATCAGGACTACCTTTGTTTTGTGCACCATATATTAAATTCTTCCACATGGGTGGTTCACAGTGGGTGCTTGGTCAATGTGTTGAATGAATAAGGAGGTTCCATCTATCTCTGAAAGACCCAGAGCACACCAGAGCCTTTACCCATCTCTGGTTTCATCAAGAAGTTGTCCTGAAAGACCATAGAAGGAGCCCCGATTTTGCACTGTATTCTCTTTTTGCTCGTTGGAAGTGCTTTACATCCCAGAACTTTAGAAATTGTTCTCAGTTGAAAAGTCCATGACCCTGACTGAGATGGTTTGTCCTTTGCTTCTGGTTTATCAGCTCATATTGGGTCTCTCAGTCCTGAAGCTTAACATATGCCATTAAGAGGTAAGAAGTTGCTTAGATTAAAATGTCCAAATGCCTATGAAAAAAGCCAAAATTCAAAAGGGGGTGTGACTTCCCAAGCTTGGCATGATATTCCCAGGCCAAAGATTTTCTGTGAGATTTCTTGGATCTGCAAGGAAGAGAGTTTGGAAAAATTATTGTTTGGCCTGGTGCCTACCCAAAGCCTGAAAATAGTCAGTGTTGATCCCTGTACCAAAGACAAACAGTGAAAACCAAACAAACTATTCCCTACATACAAAAACCACTCTCTTCTGAGCGTGTTTCCCACCATCAGTACTTCGATGACTCCTTCCAGTCCTTCTGAGATCTGCAACACAAGACAGGACAGCCAGGGAGTCACCGTCCTGAGCAGCACCTTTGCCCATGAGAGCCTCTTCCTCCAGCTGCATAGACTTCTTCTTGCCTTTGTGTATGGAAACATCTGAAATCCTGCCTGCTCCCTGAAGTTCTGCCCAATTAACATGAAGAGTATATTTAATTTCCTAGACAGCATTTACCCATCAATGGAGTCAAAATCCAGGCATATAATGTTCGGAGGAAATAGCAGTCTTAAAGTTCTAGGGATCCTTCAATGAATTACGTTCCATGGGGACAGGGATCTTGTCTTACTCCTTCAGAATATCCCTGGTGGGAATTCAATGTCTAGCTGTTGCACACGAGTGACTGATTGGAGTGACTGTTGAGGTCATCATACAACCTTCACACATCGCCCATTCTTCACTCTGGAATCGTGACATCTTAGAATGGAAAAACTAAGACCGAGATCATCTGGCATTAAAGACTGTTATCCCTCTATCTTCCTTCCATGTTTGAAATCTCTCATTGGCTTTTTGGTGTTTTTTTTTAATATTTACCATCTAATATATAATTTATTTGTAATTTGTTATTTTTTACCTCTCCCCTCAATTGGATTATAAACTCCACAAGAGCAGGGTTTCTTGCCTATTATTTATTCACTGTTGAATTTCAGGGGCCTAGAAAACAGTTTGCCATATATTAAGGGCTCAGTAACCATATTGCCCTGTGAGTAAATGAAAGAATAATTGTCGAGTAGGGACATCACACATCAGAAACACTGCAAACTTTTTCTTCTTTTTTTAATCCTTTACCCCAACTCCACACCTGAAGAATCAGAAGGCCTGGGAGAATGAATCCAGGAATATATATTTGTTTTGAGGAGTATATATGTGATTCTGGTCTAGATGTTCAGAGACTTAGTCACTGAGAGAAAACTACCAGTGGCAAAACTTGGCTTCTGGACTTCCTTGGTGGTGAAGGTCAATAGGTAGGAAGGTCATGAGATTTAAAGAACAATTTCTTGAATCTAACACAGTCTTTGTACAGAAGCTGCTCTCTGTGTCCATGCTAAGATGACACTATTTTCATTTCTCCTGCTAGCTCCTGGACGTCTCCATTAAATGGACCACCCAGGAAACCTTTCCTCCCAAGTACCTGCGTTATGACCCAGAAACCTCTCGTCAGCTGATGTGCGACCAATGTCCTCCTGGCACCTACCTGAAACAGCACTGCACCTACAGGCAGAAGACGGTGTGTGCGCCCTGCCCTGACCACTACTACACAGACAGCTGGCACACCAGCGACGAGTGTCTGTACTGCAGCCCGGTGTGCAAGGAGCTGCAGCATGTCAAGCAGGAGTGCAATGGCACCCACAACCGCGTGTGCGAGTGTGAGGAAGGCCGCTACCTGGAGTTGGAGTTCTGCCTGAAGCACAGGAGCTGCCCACCAGGGTTTGGAGTGCTGCACACAGGTACTCATCCACCTCCCCCAGGTGGCAAAGTCGGGGAGGAGGGCAAGTTTAACTTGTGTCCTGATGACATTTTAGGAGAGCAAACTGCAATGGTAATGAAAGCTGCTAGGTATGCACTATGTGGATTGCTGGCAGAGGACCATTTCTTAGAGGAATACTTTGCCACTACAGGGCAATTTAGTGACAAATTTCAAATGCAGCAAATAGCTCTCTAATGAGATGCATGATGAATTGCTCTTTTTTCGAGGCACACATTCCGAATTGCACTGTTTATAGTTGATCTATACCTCTGTGCTTCACTTCAGCATGGACAGCTTCAAACTGCAGTGCTTTTTGACAAACATCAGAAATGTTAATTGATACCAAGAGAGTAATTATACTGATATTAATGAGGCTCTAGAGTGCTAACAATGAGCAGTTATAATTAATTTTGTAAAAAATGAGAATGGTTAGGGGAAATGCATTGCACTATTAAAAATGAAGCTAGTTCTTCCTTAAGCATGGGAATTGAGTGTCTGGGAGGATAAAGACTGTAGCAGTATCTCTTCAATAAGCTTATTCTTTATCTTAGACAAAACAGATTGTCAAGCCAAGCGTAAGTACCTGTCTGCAAACAAAGTACTTTCTCTTTTTGCTTTTTGAGCAGACAGGTTAAGGCCAGAGGGCACTGAATCTACAGCTACAACTCACATTTTTTCCTTATTTACCAAGTTTCAGTGTAGTCTGTGTCCTTCCATGGCTTGGGAAAATGAAGAGTATTCATTTACTTTTCTGGAGGAAGTAGTAATCAGTATAGATCCTGATTTCTCAATATGAAGCAGAGTTTCTCAACCTCGGCACCACTGATATTTTGAGCTGGATAATTCTTTTTGTGGGCAGCTGTCCTGTGCATTGTGGAATCTAGCCACCAGATGCAATAACATTTCTTTCCTAGATGTGACAACTAAAAATAACTCCAGACATTGTCTCTTGTCTCCTGGTTGACAAAATCACCCTTATCGACAAGGGTGGTTGACACCCACTGGTTGAGAGGATGCTAATTATTTATAACTATTCTAATTTTCAGAAATTGTAGTATACATCTGAATTATTAGAAGATCTATAGCATCTAAACTATAAGATGACACATACTTTTAGTTTAAGAGCAAACTTATTCAAAAATTGAAACTAGTAACTTTCCTAAAGCTGTGAATCTTATAAAATTAATCACAGAAGGTGCAAAATGCCTCTCACATGACTATTTGAGAAATTGGTGACACTTCCTAGTTTTTATTGGATGATACTTTGGGACTCAAAAGCTAAGCCAAGTTGCAGAGGGAAAAAAGCTCATCCAACAAAAACAAATCCATTTAATTCAATTCGGTAGGTTGCATATGTAGAAGAATTAAGTAAGCAGGGACTCCACAGCTGGGAAACTAGAATATTTTGAAAATAATAAAAATAGCAAGGATTTTTCTCACATGTGCATGAAAATCTGTTTGTAGAATGAAGTAAGCAGGCAGTCAGAAGACAGGACAAAGACACACATTTTATTTTGTGCCATCACTGTGGACTTATTTACCATTCCCTCCCTAAAAACCCACAAGGTAGTTCCTCATGGAAAATAAGAGGTTTCCAGGCCAAAGAGATGGCAGGACTATGGACTGTTATTCTAAAAAATAGCTAACAACCATTCCTTCTTGTTTTGAAGTCAGATCATCTCTTCTTCATACTTTGCTTTTCTTTCTGCTAGTCCTGTAATTTCTATGTAATTATCTATGGCGAACCTGGCAATATTCTCAGATGTAAAGAATTCCTCTCATTATTAGAGTTCCTATTTTGCCTGCAGGCTTACACTTTTTATGTTCCCATGGATATTAATAAGGTAAAATCATTTACTGAGATGGATAATTTTCCTTTTATAAAATGTTCTATCCGTTATAAAAGAGGGAAGCTCTATTCAAAAAGGTCATTATAGAAAGCCATCCAAAGATGAAGAAACTTACTTCTACCATTCTTGGATTCCTTTTGTTAAAGAATCTTAAAGTCTAAATTACCTGAAAGAATGTCTTCTCATACTTGTGACTTTCTCATTCGAATGCCTGAGTAGAACCAAGTCATCAATTTCATCTGAACAATGACAAGATTCTTCTTTATGTGGTTGGCTTTTCAGAACTTGTGACAGCTGGCAAAGAGAGACTTGGATGCAGCTGTCCAAGTCTACTTATTCCTAAAATACTAGCAGTGAAAGAATATCACGGAACACCTGTCCAAATGCTTTTTTATGATACTGTAGTATTTGCTATGGAGTCCAATCCTGCTTAAGGGGCGGGGATAGTGTAAGAAAGTGCTTAGAAAAATAGGCTTCTTTGTAAGGTAATTCCTAAGCTGATGTCAGGCCCTGGCAGAAAGGGCACTAAATATGTGAAGGTTCATGTCTGTGGTGTCCTCTCTCTCTCTCTCTCTCTCTCTCTCTCTCTCTGGCCAATCTTTTGTCATTTTTACTGGTCAATGCATGATCAAGCCCTTTAGACATGAAAGATGCAGGGAACTATGAAATTAGAGCCAACTCATAAGGCTATTTTTTTTTTCTGGTTTTAGTAAAATATACAATGAAGTGGGAGGTTGATATTTTTAATAAATGCAGCTTATTAACTTATATAGCTTTCAATATCCCTTTTTAGATCTGTTAGCTTGCATAAGGCAGAATTGGCCTGTAAAAGCTATATTTGAATATTGAAGACTAAGTCTGTTCAACTAGCTTACACTAGATGGAGGTATTTTCATATGCAAATACACAGCAAGATACCTTCACTCCATGCAGAACAGAGTCAAGGATTTGAAGGTATTTGTGGAGTGGTTCAAGTTTTCCTACCATTGATTTTTCCAAATACATCAATTATCGTTTCCACCATGAAATAAAATGCCCTTGTAGTTACCCTTCCCTGAAATTTTAACAACTGTGCTCTTTTAAAGCTCAACAATTTAAGCAAACGGTATATAATCTTCCATTTACTCTATAGCTTAACTGCAGGCTTACGCTTTTAAGTCAGCAACCGACTTTATTGCCACTTTCAAAAGTTTTATTATAATGTTGTAAATTTTTACTTCTCAAGGTTAGCATACTTATGAGTTGCTTTACAATTAGGATTCCGGAAAGAAAGAACTTTAGTAGGAACTGATTGGAAGTTAACAAGGCAGCAATGGGTACTGATTTCAAAGAATGATCTTCCAGCAGTTACAAAGCATCTCTCTTCATAATTTCCAGGAATAATTGTGTGAAGACTATGGTTGGGAAGAAACCCTCACAGACATGACCACACAGGCTGATAAATGAATACCCTGGCTTTTCTTTCATTTCATCTCCCATTTCCTGGGTGTTGTGTGGGTAAAGCAAAAAACTAACTTGTGTTCCTTTTACAAGGAGGAGAGACAGCCTAAGGCGATAACAGTAGAAGTTTTGTTCTCTCTGTCTAATGAAGTGAAAAATGAAAATGTTTGAGTTTTATGCAACATATTAGTAGCAGTAAAAACAAAGTGAAAAGTCTTTCGAAATATGTGTTAAGAGGGTATCTGTTGTGAAAGTATTTGAGAAGGTGCTAAATGGCTTGGTGTTTTCTATAGGAACCCCGGAGCGAAATACAGTTTGCAAAAGATGTCCAGATGGGTTCTTCTCGAATGAAACATCGTCTAAGGCACCCTGCAGAAAACACACAAATTGCAGTGCATTTGGTCTCCTTTTAACCCAGAAAGGAAATACTACGCATGACAATCGATGTTCTGGAAATAGTGAAATGACTCAAAAATGTGGAATAGGTAATTATATTTTAAAATATCAGCCTTTGTACAACCTCTGAGTTGGACATATGGCACCCTGGCCATCTTAGTGAAACACACATTTTTCTCTTTCTCAAATTTTAACCAGCTTAAGGCCATTATCTGTGAATCATTGCTAGCACAGTTACCCCAAATCTTCCCCAAAGTTCCCATCTTCTCACACAACAAGCTCTAAACCTTAACATTCTCCTACTCACACTTATCCATGGGAAAAGGGATGGTGGAGAGATTATATCTGAGGTCAAATTAACAGAGTTCAAATCACAGAATTTTTTGTTATGCATTTGTGTCACTTTTAAATATATCTGTGTTATTATCCAAAGTATAAGTTGTCATCTAAGAAGCTAAGTGATATATATCGCTGCCAAATTAGAAATATAAAATTGGCTTTTGTTACCTATAATATTACTGTCTCAACTGCATGAAAATTCCATTTTTCTCCCATTGACTTAAACTCTTTATTTGAAAGGGTTACTAGTTCCAAACTCACGTCTGAATAGATCCCATGTTGTTTATGACATGAATCAGGTTGGTGTCTTCACCCTTTCCATACTATCTCTAGAATAATCTCAGCCCTTCCACCAAGGGCTCATCACACCAAGGAAGATTTACTTCTTAGCAAATACGATGAACCAACTTGACTCTTCCTAAGCATCATTTTTAGACATGGAAGCATAGATATGTGGGTAGAGAGATTAAGATTCCAACACAGTTCCATCATTTTTTACACTGTGTAATTAGAATCTTAGACAAGTTAAGGTGATTTCTTATCTAAATAATGGACTGAGGAGTCCTAAGAGGAATCACTTCTAACTTTAATATTCTCTTATTTTAGTTCATTTTTTATTTTATTTTTATCATCCAAGCAACTCTTCATAGGTATAAGGTATGTTGTTATAACAGGCTTAACAGGTTGCTCACGTTCAATGTCACTGGTGAATGGCAGAGCCAGGATTCAAATCCAGTTCTGATAAACCCAAAGTCAACTCTTAATCTCTGATAAGCTGACCCTCCCTAGACATTCACACCTTAGTACTCTTATCTATAAAATGCCGTTTGTGTTTGAGTGTTTTTCTACTTATACATCTATATCCAAGTTTTCTCCCAAAGGGAAACTATGTTTGTATATATGCAGAAAGTAATATATTATTCCACTTACTTTTCAAGCTCCTTTAAAGACAGTGATTATGTTTGTTTTGACACCGATGGCCACTAAATGACTGTGTAGACACTATGTAACTTTTAATAGAATGTTAATATTTATATCAAATTATAGAATTGTTTTAGTAATTTATTTCTAACAATATTATATTCTTATCTTTATTAAACTCTCTCCCCTTCCCAAAATGCCCTTAAAGATGTAAGCTCAGTTGGGTTGGCAATTTGCCACTAAGACCAGCTAATAAAAAGGTGATTGTTATTTCATTTTGCATTTTATCATAGTCTGTCTTGGAAAATTCAAGATTGATTGGTATGTTGGTTTTTTAATTCTGTCTTTTGTTCAATAGACTTCCAAACATCCAATTGTTAAATACCTCTTCTTGGTTTTTCATCTCTCTCTAGATGTCACCTTATGTGAAGAGGCATTCTTTAGGTTTGCAGTTCCTACCAAGTTTACCCCTAACTGGCTCAGCATCCTGGTAGACAATCTGCCTGGCACCAAAGTAAATGCAGAGAGTGTCGAGAGAATAAAACGGCAACACAGCTCACAAGAACAAACTTTCCAGCTGCTGAAGTTATGGAAACATCAAAACAAAGACCAAGATATGGTCAAGAAGATCATCCAAGGTATGGCAACTGAAATAAAGAAGTTAATCAGAAATCAAAGATCTCCATTTCTAGTAAAACAGGAATCAGATTATGTACCCGTGTGACTGTGTGGCTGATGTTTCCCTTTAAGGAATTATTGTTAGACTGAAAAAGTTTTCACCAAGAAGTAGTGTAGATGCTGTTCCATTGGCCACCATGTAAGGCTTTAATTCTCATCTCCCAGTTCCCTTCACCCAATTCCTTTCTAAGGCTTGTTGAACACTCTAAAATATGAATGCATTTAAATATAGGACTAGACATTGGGAAAACTGCCTTTAGATCCCTCAGGAGTATTATTAGCACAATGTGGAAGTGCACTAGCTACCTACACATTTTTGAACCACTTTGGATCTGACCTTGCATTTCCACTCAGAAGCTATGTTGTGTTTATTTGATGCTTCTCTCCAGAGAGACTCAAAGTGCCTTACAGATACCCTCTTAATAATCCTTACAGCATGGCCTATTTTAAAATTACCATTTTAATAGCATATGTTGTGAGGATTAATGAGATATGGTCTGTAAAGTGTTTGAGTCTCTCGGAAGGAAGGGCTGGTTAAAATAAAGTACTCTTGTATTTTAGAGTTTTATAAAGAATCTCCTTTAAGAAACTTGTGTGTGTGCGTGTGTGTTTTGGAGAATCAAAAAACTGAAAGCAAGTTTTTTTCAGTGTAAACCAAAACTGTAATCTTAAAAATGTAGGCTTTAAGATATCAACTGGAAAGAATTCTGACTTCAATTAGCAAGGAGAGGACATGTCAGGAGAGGAGGGACGCTGGTCTAATGCGTACATTGTCAATGCACATTCTTTCTGCTCTTCACTTGTAGTTAAATGACTGGGGAGTCCTGCCTTACCCTAAAAGCCCCAAACATCTAAAACCAAGGCAAGAGATTTTAAGAGAATAACATATTTGGCAGTTGAATGCTTCCTTGTGAAAAGAGTAAAATTTTCTTCTGCTTTTGGCCAACAAAATGTATTCTTTGAAAGCATAATTAGCCCTGAAGCAAAAAAGAAAGAAGTAAAGAATCAGAAGGGAACAACTCCCTATTTTATAAATGAGCACATTTCAACCTAGAAAGATGAACTGACTTGCCTTCAGGCTTGCAGATACTAAATGACTGATGTCATTAACAGAAATGCTGGCTACTCCCTCTTATGTTTGTGTCCTATTTCATTACTGCAATAGTCTTTAGGCCATGGATATCCTCTTGCTCCTGTGCTTTAGGTTACTGAGTTTCCAGATCTTTTCTCTCATGATGTTCATCCTTTGGTGCTATTTATTAAAGACCAGGGGGAAACAACTAACTCTTTTCAAATAGTGTATATGTTGGATATCAACTAGAAAAAGCCAAAATTACAAAATTCAATTATAAATTGAATCCTTTTTAAAAAATGTTATGGTGATAATTTTCCCAAATTTTCTTAGATAGCTGGGAGTGATGTGCCTTTAGGTTTTTATTTAATTTTCAAAATTAGAGTTTTTCAACAATACTTAGAGGCTTAGAATTTAAAGCATGTCATCCTATTGTAATACAAAACTTTATCAATAGCAGTTCTCAGAAATAAGTAGCATCACTCATGTCTCTCAAAAAAAAAAAAGAGAGGTTATCTTTAAAATAAAATTACAAAACTCTGGGAGATCTGTCTGCTTCAGGGTAGACCAAGAATTATATACATCACTTGACCATCTGGGGTTTGGCTTTATGCAGATATCGACCTCTGTGAAAACAGCGTGCAGCGGCACATCGGACACATGAACCTCACCTTTGAGCAGCTTCACAGCTTGATGGGAAATTTGCCTGGGAAGAGAGTCCCAGCAGAAGACATTGAGAAAACCACGAAGACATGCAAACCAAATGAGCAGATTCTGAAGCTGCTTAGCCTGTGGAGAATAAAAAATGGCGATCAAGACACTCTGAAGGGCTTAATGCACGCGCTCAAGCACTTGAAAACATATCATTTCCCCAAAACTGTCACTCAGGGTCTAAAGAAGACCATCAGGTTCCTTCATAGTTTCACTATGTACAGACTGTACCAGAAGCTATTTTTAGAAATGATAGGAAACCAGGTTCAATCAGTCAAAATAAGCTGCTTATAACTGGAAGTGGTCGTTAGGCTGTTTCCACACAATGGGTCAGAGCCGATGGATGAGTAAACCATTTCTCAGGCACTTGAGGGGGTACAATGATTTCTTTCTCATCACCAAGGTCTAGATTTGGCCACAGGGCATGAAACAAAAAGTTACGGTGTGGAGAAAGAACTAATATTTCCCCCAAAGTTCAATAAATCCCAAACAGTTTATCCAACTGACAGATCTGGTCCAGTATCTACTGACTACATTTTCCTTTATTACTGCTTGCAGTAATTCAACTGGAAATAAGAAACTAGACTTCATTGTACCTTACTAAATATGGGAATGTCTAACTTAAATAGCTTTGAGATTTCAGCTGTGCTAGAGGCTTTTATTAGAAAGCCATATTTTTTTCTGTAAAAGTTACTAATATATCTGTAACACTATTACAGTATTTGCTATTTATATTCATTCAAATATAAGGTTTGTACATATTATCATCCTAAATGGAAATTTTAGAAAGGAGGAAAATATATTCTGTTTATTATTATGACAAGTGAAAGAGATAAAATATATATTTTTAATGGAAAGTTTGTAGCATTCCCTAATAAGTACTTGCCATTCCTCCCATGTGGAATGTTTTTGTAATATAATTTCACCTGTATAAGTTGTAATATCATTTTATAGAAAATGCGTTCTTTAGTCAATTGTTTAATGTTGGAAGGTGTATGAAATATAAATTATCTGATTATTAGATGCTCTGAGAAATTGAATGTACCTTATTTAAAAGATTTTATGTTTTTACTATATAAACAACATCATTAAAGTTTTCAAATTATTTTTCATTGCTTTTCCTCTTGTTTTTATTTGTATGAGTTCGTTTCCCATCAGAACTATCTAGAATTTATTTAAAATGTAGATTCCTGGACCAGATTGTTGAGAAACTCTGGGGAAGAAAGTTTAAAACTGTATTTTTAATAAGTTCCAAAGTAATGCTTATTACATTAAAGCTAGAGAGGAACTGAAATCAAGCTTAGTGTACAGATGGTGCAAACCATTTATAACTACTCTTTCTAGCAGGGAGAGACCTAATTCCCAAGTACTTTGGATTGTAAGTAACAGAAACTAGCAATCTTTAGTTGAGAAAAAATTAGTTGGAAGGCTGTTGTATTGGTTTGAATGGTGGTATTCCTGAAATAGATTTATATCCTACTCCCCAGAACCTATGAATGTTTCTACCACAGGTAATGGGTATTTGGAGATGTCATAAAGTTAAGGATCTTGAGATGAAGAAATAACTCTGGATTTTCTAGCTTGGTCCTATATCTAAGGACAGTATCAGACAGAAGAGAAGGCAGTGATGTGAAGACATAGGCAGAGATGGGAGTGATGCAGGCATTGGCAAGGGGCCTGCGGAGAAAAGGAAAAGATTCTCCTTTAGAGGAAGGACAGCCTTGAAGAAGTTTTAGTTTTAGATTTTTGACCTCTTCCCTCCAACCTATGAGAGAATTAATTTCTGTTTTTGTTTTTTTTTTTTTAAAACATCCAGTGTGTAGTGTGTGGTAATTTGCTACAATAGCTCCTGTAAACTAATACAGGTTGCATCCCAATCTCAGAAATGTCAGAATTAAGACATTTCTATGGGCCCTTGGAGGCAGAAATTCCTATATATTCTACTCATCCTATATCTCAGTATCTTTCAGTTCAAATTTCCAATTCCCTGGAGTCCCTATTTGTCCTAGATTGGCACTAGTATAAAGACATGGCCAATGAGGGCCTTTGGTTATCAGTTCTAATGGCAAAGAAGGAAATGCCATTGTGAACAGGGTCCACTATTCCCATCCCCTCCAACTCTGTTCCTTTTTTCTCTTTGCTCTGACTTAGAATATAAAGCTGACAGATCAATAGATCAACACAACCTTTGTGAATTTGATCAGTTATGGCCACTTTGATAGGACAGATTCATGTAAATAGCGCATAAACTCATAAATCTGAAGAAAATGAAAAACAGAGGTAAGGCCAAGAGGCTTAAAACTGGGAATAAGAATTCCAACAGTACAGTATTTGAAGTTAAAAAAAATGTGGAAATAAAGTCCACAAGGTATAAACAGGAGGACAGGAGTTAATGAATGGCCTTCACTTTCCCTTCAGAAGCTCCAGTTTTCCCACCCAAGTTCTTATTTGCAAGAATGAAATGGCCTATCCACAGCTACTAAGTTCAAGAAGAGCTCATAAGATAATGGCATCGAATGTAAATCATTCAAACACCAATTTCATTGGCTTCGCAGGCTGGTCCTTTGGGACCACCTTAAGCTTCTCCTCTAGGGAACAGAAATATATAAATTATAACAGTTTCTTTTTTAACTTTTAATTTGGAAATTATTTTAGATTTACAGAATCATTGAAAAAGCAATATAACATATCCCTGGATACTCTCTACCTAGCAGGCTATTTTGAAAATTTATCTCAATTTCAGTCTGATGCTTTCTCATAAATAGATTGAGGTTTTGGACATGGGGAAAGACTCTTACATAGGTGATGATCCTTCTCATCACATCATATCAGAGGCAAAAGATATTAACTTGACTAATTACTATTAATATGAATCTTGACAACTAAGTTCATTTTATTTAATTTTATTTTATATATTTTTTACATCATTTTTCATTTTTGCACAATGTATGCATTTTCATGTTAGTTATATTCCCCATACAATTCACACCCCCCTTGTTTTGACTCTAATCCTTCCTCCCCTCGACCGCCATAGTGTGTCGCTGGTTTATAGTTGCTCGTTGATCATTGACTTTTTATGTAAGTTATAGTTACGTGTCAAAGTCATTTGTGTGTATGTGTGAAAATGTAGTCATTCAGTTGTCCCAGGAGGACTTGTTGAATTCTCCATTTACTCTTTTCATCTTTGTCAAAAATCAATTGGTAATATTTGCGTGTGACCAACAAAGTGACTCCATCTTATATGGACGCCATCTTATGCCCACGACCAGCAGTTGCCTATGCTGGGAAAATACCCAGTTTTTCCATTGTTTCTTAAATGTGTAATAACCTGTCGTCACAATCCACACACGACTCCATTGAACTTAGTAGAACAAAATTAACAGAGTGCCATGTCCTCTTGGAGTCATAAGTCTTACAAAAGAATGACTGAATAGGCTAAGCAGAGTTAAAAAGACCCTTGTCAGCGTTTGCTGTGTGGATCCTGCCTTGACCTGAAATCCTATCCACTGCTTCCAGCACTAAAGATCCATATATATTTGCCCTTAATAAACTTGAAGTGTGATTAATCAACTTGCCTGCTTCATTCTTTCCACTCAAATTACCTTCTAACTTTGCAGGAACTTATTCATTTCCAAAACTCCAAAGTGGAAATATTTCTGGCCCCTCTATTATGATCCACAAGTCTGTAACTCTATCCTATATTCACCAATACCACACTGCCTTACTGTCAATTTATAGTTAGTCTTAAAATTATTTCTGATAATCACACTGTCACTTAGGTGTGTGCTGTTTTTCCTTGTCTTTTGGTGTGCCTCATTTTTTATTTGACAGCCAAATATATTATGTAGGTCAACAGAAAATGAAGTAAATAGTTTTTATCTAGATAGGGCCATGCTTTCCTTCTGCAAGGGTTTTAATGGAAGCTTTTGCATTAATCCAGTAAATAATTGGTCTGGTTTTGAGATTTTTTATTTTTTTGCTATGGTTATATTCAGTGTTTCACAGTTTTCAAATACCCATAGATAGCTTGTTTCTAGGGTGGTGGATGTGTGACTTTGAGTATTAGGTTTTCTCTTTGAGCTGTGCTTCAAAGAGATTCTCTTTGCTCATCTTTGCTTCTCCCCCATGTCTTACTTGTCCTTTGAAGCTTCTTAGCTTCACAATGGAGGGTTGGAGACACATTTCTTGCCATTTAATGAAGGCTCTGTCTTAGGCATGCCTGATTCCTAGGATGTGTAGCTGTCTCTGTTCTCCTGCCCCTCCCCTAACTCAGTTGCGGGCTTAGCATTTAACCCTGTCCATAGAGCCAAGAGTAAACATTCCCCCCTCCTATTCCTTTTCCTTAGCTGCAATAAATGCTCACCAATATGTTTAAGTCAGCAGTTTTGCCTTTTCCCCGCTGTTAATACTTTAATTCCTTTGGGTGAAGTCTCTTGTCCTCCCTTCAAGATCTTGTGGTTTTCTTACTTATCTGGTGATTGTTCAATTGGGGTCAAAGAGAAAGAGCTTGAAAAGGGTGTAGACCCCTCAAATCTCTGCAGCACCCAGAAGTTTCACAGTGTCCCACCAGCCACACACACAGCATTAAGAAAATTTTCAGATACTCTTGCTAACTCTTGTTACTATTGCCCCACTGAATGTAGCCCAGCAAACTTCTTTGTAGGTGTCTCCTCTCCCTAGAATAACTGTCTCTTCTTGGATCTTGGGTAGGTTGTTTGTGCTAAGAACTCAGGTCTCCAATGGGGATTTGCTTGATTGTTTTACATTAAGATTATGATTATTTTTTAATTTTATTTTATATAATTCTTACATCATTTTTCATTTTTGCACAATGTATGCATTTTCATTTTGGTTATATTCCCCATATAATTCCCACCCCCCTTATTCTGATCCTAATCCCACTTCTCCTCCCCCTAACCCCCACCATAGTGTGTCTCTGGTCTATAGATGTTTGTTGATTTTTTTACTTTATTGCAATTAGTCTTTTTCCTAATCCCTTATTGAGGTTTTCTAAGTTCCTGCTATGAATGAGACCATCCAGTCTCATTAATGTTTACAGAAACATCAATTCCAAAGGGCACCTGCACCCCTATGTTTATAGCAGCACTATTTACAATAGCTAAGCTTTGGAAACAGCCCAAATGCCCAAAAACAGATGACTGGATCAAGAAGATGCAGTATATATACACCATGGAATATTACTCAGCAATCAAAAAAGATAAACTCATGCAATTTGCAGCAACATGGATGGAACTGGAAGGGATCATGCTCAGGGAAATAAGCCAGAAAGAAAAAGATTATTTTTAAAGAGCAGTTTGAAATTTTTCTATTTACAACAAAGTTGAGAGGAAGGTAGAAAGATTGCTAATGTATTCCCTAACTCTGCACACCCCTAACCTCCTTCTATCACCCAACCTCACCAGAATAATACACTTGCTGCGATTGATGAATCTACATTGACATGTCATAATCACTCAAAGTCACTAGTTTACATTATGGTTCACTCTTGTTGTTGTCCATCTGGTGGACATTTTTCTTGAGTCATGAATTTGAACTTAGTTTGATTCTTTGTG